CCTGCCATTTAAAAATCAAGGATGTAGCAATTATTTTAACTTACTTATCATCTAGGAATACAGTTTGAGAAGGCCAAAAAATTACAGATGAATTAAAGGGAATTTAGAATATTAATTGGGAAAAAATGGAAAGCATCCTTATTTTGACAACTTTAAGTTGTCATCATTGGATGACAAAAAGTTAATCCTAATGTAGAAGCAAGCATAAAGTAAAAAAAAGATAATTCAAGCACCTAAAAATTATAATAAAAATTTCTATGAGGCACAAAATGTTCTTTCAGTGCCTGTAAAGATAAAAAAAATTTTGATCATCTGATCTTTGAAAAAATATTTCCTATATTGTTTACTTTGTATTGATTTATATAAGAACTATACTCTTTAGGGATTTAAAAATTATAATGTTTCTGCACTGAGATATACTTTTAAGATTAAAAGACATTCTATTCAATATGAGTCTTTTTTCAGATAAAAATCTGCATGAATCAGACATACTCAACATCTAGGCTGAAAAAGAAAAAAACATAAACAAACAAACAAACAAAACCCCCCCCCCAATAGTCTGCAGTCCCAGAACACCATTTTTCAGATTCCTACTTTAAAGAATTTTATGGATTGAATGATGTGCCCCCTCCATTCTGATGCTGGAGTCCTTACACCTTGGAGTGTAACCTCATATGGAATAAGAATATTGGAAATGTAATTAAAGATGAGGTTTAAAGTGTTGCAACTTCAAAATGATTAGTGTCCTTTTAAAAAAGGAATATCTGGACATAGAGTAGGACATGCAGATAGGGAGACATACATGCAGACAAACACCATGTAAAAGTTGAAGCTATGTTGTCACAAATTATGGACTACCAGAAAGAAAGGAGAAGAGAGACCTGGAACAGGTCCTTCCCGATAACCCTTATGAGCATGGCCCTGCTGACACCATGATGTTGGGCTTCTAGCCTCCAGAACTGTGATAATTAGATTCTGTTGTTAACCTACTCAGATTGTGGTACTTTGTCACAGCAGCCCTAGGAAGCTAGTATAGAGGACAATGCTGTATATATTGTTATTGCAAGAAATTAGACCTTCTTTTGATGTTTTCCCTCTAATATTTTGTAGGTCTCTCTTTAATGTTAGAAAACCAAAGTGAAAAGTAGCTTTTGATTCATATCTTAAATTGCCGTGTGTGTGTGTGTGTGTGTGTGTGTGTGTGTGTATGTGTGTGGTGTGTGTGTGTTGGGGGGCATCCTTCCTAAGTGATTTTGTTTTCTCATCCTTGAGAATTAGAAAATGAAGAGCAACTTCTTAGTGGATCCAGTTCTCATGGATCTGCCTGCAGTTATATACAAAAATTTGTATTTTCTGGAATAGTTTTGCAGTTTTGGGAGGCTGAGTTCCAGTTTTATAAATCAGGAAGCTGAATCTGATTTGATAAAATAAGAACTTAATTTCCTGTCTAGAATATACCAAGTATTATTTTCTTAATTACTCAAAGTGATAGTTGAATTTAGAAAATGATTGCTTTCATGTGATATTACAAAAAATAATGCAATGGGAAAGGGAAGTGTCAGGAATACTGTTTTCACCTGATATCTAACAGGAATGGTCGTATCAGATACGACTTTAATTAAAGTATTAATGACTTTCATATGTTGCTTTGCTTAATCTTCTCAGGTCACTTATGAGATACAGATCTTACAATTGTTAGAGAAGGAAACTGAGTCTTAGCTATTTCTAGAGAGATGAGGAACCTTATTAGCTTTCCCACAGTTACAGAGTTTTAGGCTGTATTCCCACATAAGGCACTTGTAACATTAGTTCCTCTTATTGTTGTAATTTTTAGCATTTTGGTAGAATCTCAAATTCCTTCTTCTCCGATTTCCTTCACTTTGAAATATAATCAAAATGCATATGCCACCAGCAGAGGCTGTGATGGCACATGAAATAAATTAAACAAGAGAGCATGTGATTATTGTCTTTTTCCTTTAAATTCTGTACTATACAGTCAACATAATCTTTGATTCTAAACATTATTTTTTTTTCATTCTTCTTTGAATGACATACCTTTAACTGTGTATTTCGACCAGATGAAGTTAGTGCAAAAATCTGCCTCTGCTAAAGAAGTGTCATTCATGCCAGGGGCTGCCTTCATTCTTTGGGTTGAGACTTTGAAGTGCCTGTTCCTACGTGTGCCAGGCACCGAGCAGATGATAGTTTACTCGTTGAGTATATTTAATTCCAGAAGAATGTACAGACAGATGGGAATATTCAAATAATTTGTAAAAGGGAGAAAGGAACACATTTGCCAGAAAATGAAACTGACTTTCTACTGTCCTCTGGTTGTAGGACATTTTAATTGTCATTTGAAGCCACTTGGAAAGACTACTCCATTTATATTTTACTGCAATATTTCCAGAGATAATTGGGCCATCAACCAGAACTTACTTTGAGACAGATGCTTTTGTTTGAATGAGATGCAACTTGAAATGCAAAGATGTAAATGTAAAATGACACATAGAAAAATTAATTGCTAACAGTGGTACACTTATAGTCAGCAAAATTATTTTGGGTGATATGCATTGTAGTTTCTTACATAATAAAAAGTGATTTACTAGTTGTGCTGAGTAGTACATGTTCAAAAGTTTCATTTGGTTGCAAACATCATTCCTGACTTAAAATGCCTAGAAGGAAAAAAATGTGCATTTGACTATAGTTAAAACAAACTCTAACTGAGGCACAGTTAAAAGTGAAAAATTTACCAGCTGTATTGGACGTTACTGGCCTTGCAATTGCCTCCGATTTGGTTTCACAGAGAAAGTCATCGATGGAGGGGCTCAGGAGGGGTCTGCTTTCTTGTTGCTCATTCACCAGCTGAGAACAAATGAACACAGGTGTCAAAGGGCTTTGTTAAACTGCAGAATCAGATGAATTAAAATGCAGCCTTGCAACAAAATGGGAATAGCAAACCTATCAAAAAATAAAAACATACATAAATAAATAATGGGGTGGGAGCAAGAAAGAAAAAAATACTAAAGGGTGGGAATGAGTCTTTTAGCATTATCAATGTATTTCTGATGCAGCCGAGTTTGATATTTAAAGCTTAGGACTGTATTTCTCTCCCTCTTGCAGTAGTTTTAGAATTATCCTCTAATTTTAATATGTGGAAAATGACACTTATTGAATTACAGAGCCAATTCTCTTCCTCGCTTGGACAGAATGCTCCTACTGAGATCTGAAGCGGCGGCTGCAGACTCTGAGGTGACAAGCTCTGGTAAGGGCTGGTTAGTTGGTGTCTGTATGGTACAAACTCATGGATCAATGTGTATGGATGAACATTCTCCTTTCCTCCCTCTTTAAAAAAGGTTTAGTCACCTAAAACACACCCTGAACATTTCCTCGGAATACTTTTGTAGTATAAAACAAATGCTATTTAAAGAGATAGAAGATAGTACATTAACCATATAGATATATAGTTTATGTTTGTGAAAATCTATTTGTAAAATAGATTCCTGTAAATCCAATCATATTTTTTCCATTAGCTTATTCTATAACTTCTGCAATCTTTCAGGTAGATTTTTAGTGGGTACTTAGTTATCAGTGTCAGCCCACTATTTACTTTCAGTTATTCTGCTCCTCTTTGAACTTAGACTTTCTCTGGTTAAGGGGGAAATATGTTATGATACATAATCCATGAATCCCTAAATTAACTGGCTTCATTTTTCAGGAGTGGCAGAGATATTTAGTTTTCTATTTGTCAGTGGAAAAGATGTGCATCAAAGTCTCTAGAATTCACTTGTAGAGAAATATCAAAATATTTTGGGATTCTACTCACTTCATTTCATTGTCTCTTTGGCATAGTGAATGGTATTCTAGTTTAGAGCTGTTGGAAGATGCAAGGGACCTCAATATTAACACATATGGAGAGAAAAGTTACAATTCTCTTATTTCTAAAAGAGCAATATGGAAGTATTTTGAGGTCATTCAGACCACAAACCTTTCAAACTGTAATATATTTCATTCTATTATTTAAACATAGGTAAATATCAGATCTCCATTAGAGCTCAAATTTTTGATATAGAGTGGGAAATCTGTTTTTTGTACATATTAATTTGTGAATGTTATTGAGAGATAGCATTGAGAATGCCCTTGTCCTTTTAGTTGCCAAGTTACAGTGACAGATATTTCTTCAATTTTTGTTTAAGTGTCTAGAATCTCACAAATTTTACTTGGAACGAAGTTTTCCAAGATCTGCTTGGGTTTTAAATTTATTATTATTATTATTTTTGGACCTGCCTTTAAAATGGGAATAAAACTCTGAATCTTTGCAGTTTGCTTTCTGAATTTGAATGATCTTGGGTACCACCCATCTTCTCCATATTGAAATGTTGAGGGGTTATGAGACTCCCATGCTTATGAGATAAAATACACTTGGGTTTTTGTAAATACCACAGTATATTTGAATTTAGGAGTTACTATAATATTTTTCTGGCATAAAACTAAATTTTATTTTTGGTAAGTATAGTTGAAAGCATAGGTATAGAATATAACATACTAGAAAATGAAGAGATGAGTAAATTTCAGTGATTCTGTGAATTCTTGTAATTGGTGATTAGTGTCCCAGAATCTGTCTCTCATTTTTAGGTAGTAAACTGTAGGTATGTATTAGTTCCCAAGGGAACCACACATTAATGCATATATCCTGGTAAAATTTACTCTTTAAACCATATGTGCTTAGTGCAACAAACCCTTCTAGTGTGGTACCACTACAGTGATATGGTCCTGATTTGCAATGTCAAGTGGGATTTGAATTCTGCTGTGTCATAATCATTCATGGAAGATAAACACCACCATCAAATATGGCACCACACTACTCATGCAATTTATTTTAATAGGCTTGCACTTAATGGAACAGTGCATTCTGATTACTGGCCTCTGGTACTAGGTCTTACTGACCCAGTGGCTAAAGTAAATAAGGCACAAAGAATACACTGTTGACTCAGTCAACACACCTGTAACTTAAAAAGGTATGAAAAAGTATGATGTCATAACTATCTCTTTGATAACCATTATTTCTCTGATGAAAAATATAATTTCATTAACAGATAACTAATAATAACTGTGTCCTTTTAGTCATGATTTTGAAAATACAGGTTGAGTATCTCTTCTTTGAAATCAGAAGTGTTTCAGATTTCTGATCTTTTTGGAATATTTACATATATAGGTTGTGTGTATGTGTTTATATATATTATATTTATATATGCATATATACATATATACACATATATACATAATATATATATAATGAGATGTCTTAGGGATGAGACTCAAGTCTAAATACAAAATGCATTTATGTTTCACATATACCTCATGCACATAGGCTGAAGATAATTTTGTACAGTGCCTCTGTTTTGATTGTAACTGGTCATGAGGTTAAATATGAAATTTTCCATTTGTGGCATCATGTTGATTCTCCAAAAGTTTTGGATTTTGGCATTTCAAATTTCAGATTTTTGGGTTAAGGATACTCAACCTATATCGATCTTAATGTAGATAAATATAAATGACATTACATCAAAGTTTCCCTTGTACTTTTTGTTTACAAAAAAAGGACAAAGAATTTATCCCTAAATCACAACTCTGTGCAGGAATAGGTGTGAATTACTTGTAGTTTTAGAAAATTAGGGTGTTTGGTTTCTGATACTTTTAATTCCAAATGCTGAAAAACTATATTCTGATAGAATTCTAGAAAGTGAGAATTTTGTCCACATACACATCCAAATGGAAAAACAAGGAAAGGACGCAAATCAATGAGAGGGCTATCCTTTTATATGAGTCTACTTTGTCAAAGGAAATAGGAATTAAAAAGAGTTTCTCATTCAACTTTCAGACATATTTTCTGGAGAAAACATCTCTAGCTCTCCCAGAACTTATTCAGCATAGGAAGAAAGAACTACCAGAAGGGAGGTTGTTCAGAGAGACCCCAAAGAGCCTCTCTAGTTTTCTAGACCTCTGCCTTGAGGCCAGTGTCTCTTCCATACCTGCTGACCATACTGCACAACTGGACTGTTGGGAGCATATAATGGTCCACCTCCCACCACTGTGGCGCTCCTATGGCTCTACTCCACCAATATAAACCAAAGAGAAAGAACAAACTACTTTCTGAGTCATTTCCAAGCTGGAGCACAGCTTAGCTGTTGGGAAATGCTCCGTTTGGAGTATGAGATGACCATGGCGCTCTCAGGTGAAGAGGATGAGAGGCGCCATGATGGAGAGCATGGAAAGGTAATTGAAACTGAACAGAAAGAGTTTTGGTTTTGATGGAGATGTGGAAGGTGAAACAAGAGATATTGCAAAGATAAAGAGATCTTTTAAGAACAGAGGTCAGAGATAACTAGATCTTATTTTTATTTACATCCTTCTCATCTTCAATATAATGCCTGCATGCAAAAGGGGTTCAATAAATGGCTGCCAAATGAGGTAGCGACTTGGCACAAGTTGAAAATATAAAATATCCATCTCAAACAGTTCAATTAAATTGTATCTTCAGCTGCATGGATTTAAGACTATTTTAGTTGTAGTAAATACTATTTTATTTTTATTTGTACAGATATTGTACAAATTTTAATAGTTTTTTTCTATGCCCCCTCCTCATTTTTAAACAGATTTATGGTTCTTCATTTGGTGCATTGAGAAATAATAAATCTTTTAGGTCATGAAGGAAATTTCCAAACTGAACTGAATTCTTCAAGTGATCCCTCTGAACTTCACTTCCAAGTTTTATGTCATTTATTTTTTTTTTATTCCTTAATAAGATGAGATTTATTGACTTGCTTTTGGAATGACTTCCTTTAGTTTGAAAATGCTTTATGAAATTCCCTCATTTCATCCTTGAGTACAGAGTACATTGGTGTCATAAAAATAATAAATCTGAGGTTTTTAATCCTTTTTGAATTGTAGTGACTACAATTTTGGTCTAATCAGATTATCACAGCTGAGTTAAAAAAGACTCACTTTGTTAGTTGCTAAGGCTTTTGTCTCAGACTGTTTACATTTAAAAATGTTCATCTTTTATCTGCTCTGAATTCTTCTTAATATTTGAATCAGTGCAGAAATCCTTCTAGGGCTGGGGGTGTAGTTTAGTGATTTAACATTTGCTTATCATATGCAAAGCCTGGGGTTCAATCCCTAGCACAATGGAGAACAACAGAAATGGCAAAAGACCCTTCTCATGGTGGCAGATCCTTATTCTCTTTCAGGACCCCATTTAATGGACACATCGTCCAGGAACCTTTTTCAGCGCCAGGAAGTGAGGGACTTTTAAAAGCATCTCCATGTTCCTGTGATTTACTTTTCATTAGGCTGTAAGTTCCTTGAGAAGAGAGACTTTATTCAATTATATTTTTCATCCCACAGTAGCAGATTAATAATGCTGAATGATTTTACACAGTCTAACTGAATAGTAAACTGTACAAAAGAATGATTACATGGACATCCTAAATTTCCAACTGGGTTTGAGCAATTCACAGAGAGGTCAGTTGTCCTTAGAAACATTTAGCAATTTTCTCAAAGGTATTAACTACACATCTAAGTCTATTTCCTCCCAATGTCACATTTTTTAAATGTTTGGAAATCTAGTGGTACCTAAAGGAACATTTCCAAATGCAAGTCTTTTACAACGGATGTTAAGTCTTCTACCAAGAAGTCAGGAATGCCAAGAGGGAATGCCTGATGAGAAAAATGGAAATGAAGGCCAAAGCCTGCCCTGCACCATCCAGCACCTGGGAGAAGGACCTGGGCCAATGTGAACGGGAGGAAGCTTGAAACTTCAAAACTTAACCAGACTACCTCCCTAGAGATTTTAAATCAAAGATTCAAATCTGGAGCGTTTGAGGGAAAGCAGTATTTAGATAGATGAGACCTTGCATGCAGGCTTTTTTTTTTTTTTTTTTAAATCAATCAGGAATCAAAAGACTATTGAGTCTTTATACCTTCCTTGCAATCAAATAGGCAATCAAATGACTTCAACTGAAGCATGACTTACACAGACTTGTCAGTTGATGTGGAATATTATTAGTCACAATACACATGTAGACAATATCATCCTGCACTAATGGATTATTGTCTTTCTTAAAATTTTATCTGAAAACACATTTGTCTTAGTTAACTTGGATTACTCTAGTTTAAATTTTAAAAAATTAATTATGTGATTTAAGCTCTAGAGGGCTATTTAACCAAGATGAAAAGAAATTGTTTTACTTCTAAATGCTATCTGTTATGTTTATATTGCTTATTTTTTTGACTTAAATCTAAGTTTATTTATCTTTAAAGAGATATATCGCATAGCTCTTCCATTAAAAATATAGAGCAAAAGATTTATGATAATGTATCAAAAAGCAAGATACATTTTAGATGCTGAAATAATATAAAGGATAATAATCCACAATTCCATAAATTATCTTTCAGATTAATAATCTTCAACTATTATTTTAAAGTAGCATTCTGTTTTTATATTTAAGCATTTTAGTACTTAAAGAATAATTTAAAATATTAAAACATTGGAACTAAGTTAAAAACAACTGACAAATATCTTTATGCTGGGGATTGAAGCCAGGGCTCTCTACACATGATAAGTAAATGCTCATATTTGAATGGTGATTTTAAAAATTTGTAATAATAATTTCTTTTATGATAATGATATCTTTTATCTCATTTACATGATAGAAAAACTTAAGCTATTTTGTTTCTACATGAACAAAACACAAATATGCTTGGGTATATCATTGTACATTTGAAAAATTCCTTTATCATATGTGACATTGTTGATTTAAAGTGTCATTTGTTAGGAAGGTTTTCATTCATCATTTTATAATTGAACTACTTGCTTATGATCTTATTAGTCTTATTCAAGTTCAGATATTTGTACAATGCACATCAAAATAGTGACTATATTGTGAGAGATTCACTAACATCAAACTAAGTTAACTAATTCAATCTATTAAAAAGACAACTAAATTGTTACCATGCATTCCATAAACATTCGGACTTTTAGAGGTCTGCTATGGTAATCTGGTGTTTGACATAAGTTTCTATGAGCTGATGGTACTAATGGCCTGCCCCCACTTTAGTTTTCATGTCGAAAGTCCCAGTGGCTCTTCTTGTAAAGGGAAACCATGTGATAACTTTCAACTCTTTGACTTCAACTAAATGTCAATAAACTGACAATTACAAACATTTTCCAGACAGGGTAGTTAGACTTATAAAATGAGTCTATTTGTAGGGAAACAAACAAATTATCATTTATGATTTGGGTAGTAATAACACCTGGGTCAGGCAGGAGAACATAATTAAGGCAATTGTTTTAAGTTGATAATAGAAACAGAAACAAAGTCATGTTTAGAAGCCTTGAGATTGTTCTTCCAGTCAAGGACATTATCTTTTTTTTTAATCAGATACAATGAATAAATAAATAAATAGTGATGTGTAAAGAGTGGGAACACATAGGGGGGAAAAAAAAGGTTAAGTGTGCAATTAAAAAAAAAATTTCTCCACCAGAATAGACCTGGAACACAGTTCTAAGACACTGTACAGTGTCTGGAAAAATGAGTCAGATGTATTTTGCTAAAAAACATATACAGGAGATATGGTTGAAATGAAAATTTCTCAAGGTTCCTTATGATAGAAAAATACTTGCTAAAGTCATTTCACTCTCATAAAGATAATGGATTTTTTAGTATGATACAGTCTTTTGGCACACAATTTTCTATTCTCAAATTGGATTTGTTATACTATTACATTTTAAAGCAATGCTGCTTATTAGAAATATAATGGAAGACTTGTAATTTAAAAATTTCTAGTAGCCATTTTTAAAAAAGTGAAAAAACCCAAGTGAAATTAATAATATATTTTTTGACCCAATATGACCAAAAAATACTATCATTTTAACATGTGGCCAATATGAAAATTATTAAAGCAGTAGTTTGCACACATTTTTTTTGAATCAGGTCTTCAAAATCTGTCCATTCTATTCTTATAGCGTATCTCAATTTTAGAAGCTGAAAGTGCCCAGTGCCTATGTGTGACTAGCAGCTACGGTATTGGACAGTACCGATCTAAAGAGGCTTTTCCCACACAAACTGGGTGATTCTGGCTTTTCTCTACAAAACTTTCATCGATGCACACTTGTTTACATACTGTTAGTGTCAATCCAGGACAGCATGACCTTGAGCTTGTTTGTTAATTCAGAATTAATAATGACATTAAACAAAAAAGGGCAAATTTCAAGGAGTCAGCACTTTCTAAGTTCTGATCATCTGGCCAACTCTACTTTTCTCTTCAGTTTGTTCAATGTACTATGGATGGCTTCACTGGAGTATGTTTCGCTAAGTCTCTGTTCAAGTTGTGGAACATACCACGAGAATTCCATCGATTAAAAAATGTTGGAATATGGGACTATTATACACTTACAATCTGTTGAGTGACGTTATTAAACAAGGCAAGGCAGTCAGTGTTTCAGGGACTTACTTTTTCTTTTATCTATTATGAAATAGTACTTGTCCCAAAGACGGTATTGAAAGAGTAGCCTTTAGCATTGAACATATCTGGAATCTATGATGTGAGAGATTGGTATCGACATACCAGTGATGGAATGGGTCGATGTATTCAGCAGAATGTAGCACTATGTCATCAAGGGCTTTACAGGAGACACTGGGACAAACATGTTGAGACACTGGCACATTCACACAGGGTAACGAGTAAGAAGGTGGTATGGTACACGCACTGAATGCTGTGGTTGCCATGGGAAGTACTCACTTTTTCAGATCATTCTGCTTCTTTTGGATTTGTGCACGCCACTGGCGCATGGCAGGGAAGAAGCCACTTGTGTATAGTGGAACAAGTATATCAACTAATAAAACTGCATTTGACTGAGAAATAATTGTATCACAGCTGTCACTGAATTAATTCCGTAAAATCAACAACACAACAGGTGCATTAAATTTTATGAATCAGAATTCTCCATTTGCTGATTCATAAGCTGGCCAGTATGCAACAAGAATATGATGCATCCAAGAAAGCATTATGTAATCTTCATGCAGAAAAACTGTAACTAGTATCTTAGAAACAGTTAATGCAACATTAGACAGGGATTAAAGAAGGAACTTGGTACACACAAGTATTCTGATTATGACAGGATGATAAGAATCATGATTTCTTTTTTAAGTTAAAAATCCAAGATATTATTTTACATTAAATTTTAAATTCAAGCCTAAATTATAATAACAATCTTAAATATTTGGAAATGATTTCTTGAAAATACATAGCAAAATAGTTTGAGGATGGGAGCCTGTCTTAAATTGTGATGTCCTGAGATGACATGTGGTAGCCTTGTTGTACCAACATTGGTACCTAGATGTGCATGGCTCTGCTATTCACTAAAACCTCCAGATAATTCTCACTCCCCAATTATTCACCTGAGAAACTATGGACTGAATATTTTGGATATGGGATTCACAGAGGTCTGTTTCTTATAGGTGAGAGATCAGTGTAAAACTGTATATGCTCTACTATATAAATTAAGAATGGAGAACTTGGTAAATATGAAGCAAATTTCATTTCAATTACTATTATGTGTCACTGGGAAGAAGAATCTCTTCTTTGTGAATTAAAAAAAATCCCTGAGAATCTAAAATTTATCCCAAAGTCCTGGGAATCTTTAATAACTTTAAAAATTATTCAATTTCAATGTTCTATGTTATAATTTTTGTTACTTACAACATAGTACTTAGAATAAAATAAAACCACACATGTTGGCAGCAGCTGGAGATAAGATCTGCTGATATTCTAAAAATAAGTTGCTATAATTTAGCTTTTGATATAAATGCCTTTCATGCGGACTGTAAATGGACATTTTTCTAATTCTAGGCATGTGCATATAATCGGAACTGAATCACTGCATTTACTATTGCATTATGGAAAAAATGAAATGTTTAAAATAACAATCTAATCTAAATTATAAGATAAATGCAAGTAAAAATATTTTTCATTTAAGAATTTAAAACTGGTAGTTCCACAGAGTGGTGATGAGTATATTATACATATTTATGTAGATTTTACAGGGTGTTTCAAAAGTCCCTGAGCACATACAGGATTCACTGTCTCAGTGTGTTTTTGCATACAAATGCAAACTTTTTTTCTATACTTGTTATAATAAATGCTGAAAATGGCCCTCATGTGCTTATAATAGAGAAGGTATTTTTTTGTTTTCAAGATCACTAAGTAAAAGAAGGGTCACAAATGCCATTTTCTGCTCGGGGACTCAGGGACTTCCGGCTCATTCCTGTAAATTAGGTATCCACATAAATATGTATAGACAAATATGTAGTATGCATAGTCACAACATAAATATATTTAACATTTAAGAAAATTTAGGTATTCTACTGGTAAACTGACATATGTATACAATATAACTGTATTTATTCATAGGAATTTGATTTTTTTGGTTGTTCAAATGTACTGTTATCTTAATTATTTCTTTCCCAAAGTGATTCACAAGACTCCTTTTAAAGAAGCAACATGTTTTACTTGCATATCCATTTTTTAAACTAAAGTTGAAAATTAATATCCATGAATAAATAACTAAATTTTTAAAGCAATTTTGATTTTCATTTATATTGTACAGTTGTTTCATTGAAACTGTCCCTTTAAAAAATTGGTTCAAGAGTTAATTTTTTTTTTCTTTTCTCTAGTTAGTGATCACATTGTCTGATATATTGACATATGTCAGCTTCCTACAGGAGCCCTATGGGTCTGCCCACCTGTGATGTCATAGTAAGGAGGGGCTTTTCTTCAGCAGACTCCTCCCTCGGTATCTCCTTCATCACCATGGCAACAGCCTTATCTGCCGCCCTAGAGCCTTTTCCCTACAACAGTGAAATCAACAATGACTTGTGTCAGGAGAAATCTTTAACTTATTATTTATTACAAGATATTCTAATGTTTAAAGAGCAATCCAACATAAATTGAAGAGATAGGCTGCTGCCAGTGCATCTTGAAGCTTTTGGCTGAGGAGAAAACACACAAAATCTGAAAAAAGATGGTTTGTGAACTTTTAGTTAGCTACTTTTTCACCTTTACAACTGGCATATTATATTTAATTTTAACATAGTATTTTATATGTATAATATATGAAAGGCAATTAACATGATATGAATGTATTTTTATAATATCAATTTTAAAACACTATGGCTTGCCTATTATGTTCATTTAAAATTATTACTCTATGACCCTTGAATATTTTGAGTGATAGGAATTTGGGATAGGGATTAGGATGAGGATCTGATTCTCACAGAGGACTTTTGCTAATTGGTCTTTGGAGTTTTTTTTTTTTTTAAGTGAATTGGGCATAAAAAGAGTAGACAAAAATCTCTAAAATTTTCAGTGACTTGACATATCATAAATTTACCCATCTTGTTTGATGGAGATAGTATGAACTTGGTAAAAAAAATATATATTTTTTTCTTTTTGCAATTTTCAATGTTTTTGAGGTGGAGGAATTTTAGTAGAATTTTAGAAATACCTTTCATTTGGAGAACCCTGTAAATTCAGAAGGAATAGATGATTAAAGCACTAATCTATCTACATCTACCTGTATCTGTCTATTATTTTCTACTTATCTCATGTATGTGGTAGGGTATGCTGGCTCTTGCTGTCTTAAATTTACCAGATTATGAAATTTTTGAGAGTAAATGTGACATAATGGAAACAAAACAGAACACCTTCTTGACCCCATTAGAAACATACTATGTAAAAATTAAATAATTTTTAAATATTTTGAAAACAAAAAAACTTGCATTTTTCTCAGGTCACTGGGCAGAGCCTCACTAGAGAAACTCATTTAAGAACACATAGGTACAGCTGTATTGTAAATGTACTTAAAAAATACAAATGTAACATACAGAGATACCATAGGCAAAGAAATAAAAACAGATTGTGATGTGTCATCTGGAAAGAGAATTAAAAACAGGGGTCAATATTAACTTCAGAGCCTGATAAACCTGGATAGTTTCTATGCAATGAAAAAGAGCAGAATGACATAATTATCTTGAGCTTCCCAAGGGCTTTAAGAACTTGGAAGGAAGGTACATTCTGGGGAGCACAGCAGTATCCCTTTTGTCAGGCATTGACTTTCTAACTTTCTAAACTGTAGCCGGGAGCAGCTTTTATTATGAGAACAAAGAGAATTTCTCTTTTTTTGTAGTTAATAGACCTCAAATGTGTGTGTTTGTTTACAATGCTATAAGTTTGTTTCTTTGCTTTATTTTGACTTTAGCATTACTGAATGATAAGATGGGATATCAAATGCTAGAGATTTTATTTAGCAGATACATCAGTAGCAATTTTCATATGTGTTCTGAAAATGTTATATGGCTAACAATCCTTAGAATATCTGATTTCTGGGAAAATAAAGGGAATCATAATGATTTATTGTATAGCAAATTAGGGTGCATATTGATTGTAGGTTTCTTCTTTAATGAGGCAATGTGAATTTTCTAAAATAGAGGTGTAAACAATTCTGGGAAAAGATTTATTATGGTACTATGAATGTTAAAACATTTTTTTCAAATATAAAAATTATCTGGTTAAAACATTATACCCTATAAGATTAGTATACCTTTATAAGCTACACTCATTTTACATACTAAATGTGGTTCATAACAAATATTTTTTCAGTTTTTTTCCAAAAGAGCAAAATCACATGTGAGGAAGTCTTTCCATGCTCCAAGAAGTTCTCATAATATAGCAATAAAAAGTGGCATGCTTATATTTATATTTAAATTCCTACTATACTTAAAAGAACAAATCTAATATTACAAGATATAATTCTAAGAAATAATAATTCAGACTCTTTTCTTGGGCCAAGAAAAAAATGTCAATTGATAAGCATCTCAAAAAATTTCAATTTTTCAATACACCATTTATTTGAAATGCTACCAATCCATACACTATATAGAGATACTTTTTTACATATGCAACTATAATAGCTAAAATTAGCAACGGACATGCCATTTCACTAAAACAAAAACAAAAACAAAACAAAAATTAGTCCTTTCATGCTGAACTCTAGAACAAAGCAGTGGTCAGCTAGAAAGGATGTATAATAAACACATGCGGTGCTTTTTATTTCTTGCAGAAAAAACCCACCAAAGCCAGGGTCAGGTCACTTTTTTGAAGACAGTGCCACTTTTTCTTCAAGGTTACACCTACTACCTGAAAAGAGTCATGACACCCATGTTAGTGCCTGCTAGCAACTTTTTCTGTACAGCCTTTTGGCTTTTGAGATATATCCCACGAGCCTCACTAGTGTGATACAGCCTTGAGATCAGAAAGGGAAGGTCCACCACAATGACATCTCCATGGCTCCAGATACAGTGTCTAAGGCACTGCCAACTCAAGGGAAGACACATATCAACAAGATCTCTCCTGCATCCTAGCACCATCTCCACCTGCTATTGTAACATCAAGTTGTGGTTATTTTTGATTTCTCCATTTATCTTGTGGGATAATACTTCTAGAATTCAGAATGTGGCTGATAATTGATTCAGCAATTCATGAAACTATTATAATTTGCTTATCAGCAACTCTGCAGGACTGAGTCTGTCATTTTTTTCTAATATGACCATACCATTTTTTTTCTTTTTTGAAGTCAGTGGCTTAAAATTAAAAGAAGTATATATACATAATTATTCAGTCTTCAAACCCAATTTTCTAAATAAAGCTGTATGAAAGGTTCAATATTGATCTATTATCACTGGAAACACACCCAATCCATATAAGGGGCTTATATACTTAAGATCACATTAGGATTGTATGCCTCTAGATCATTCTTGGAAAGAACAGCAAAGAATCATGAAACTTCAGAAGTTGTTTACCACTTGGTGACATCCTCTAGTGATAATTTCAGCCTACTTCTTTTCCAATAACATATGAAAATCACGTCTTCCCACTTTTGGGTTGAATTTCTTGAGATATTTTTGACTGTTTAGAAAACAATATTAGCATAAGGGGAGACTTATTTTTCATGATGCTTAGCTGTTGAAAATTCTTTGCTATTTCTCTGTTTCTCTTAGCATTTGTTTCTTCACCAATGAATCATAAAATGATAGCCTTTCTAATGAATAACTATTAAGAATAGTCTTGTTTTTTCCTATTATAAAAACAGGCAAAAATGAATGCAATGAAGGGAATATAGCAAGTGATATTATTTATTAAAAAATTCAAATTTTGACCCACTTGTTTTCTTTTTGTTAATGTGCAACAGAAGATACAGATTACAACATACTGGATGTCATAGGATCTGTTCAGGCTGCATACCAGGCTGTGGAGCCACCAGATGTCTTTAGATGAACTGGTGTTGGCTGCAGTCCTGTCTCACAGAGAAGGGAATTAAACTATTTTGAGATGCTACCATGTGCTGGGCATTCTGTTAGACGTCTGACTTAATTTCACTTGTTTGATCTCTTGGTATTTCTGAGGTATATAGTATCTTCCACAGATAGCTGAGGACATTGAAGCTCAATGCTTGTGTGGTTTGGCTAAGGCTCCCCCCCCCAAAAAAAAAAAGTCTGTGATGGAGGCAGGAGGAGATTCCAGACTGGCCTCCCAGGCCTGCCTGCTTCCTTCTCTACTACATGGGTGCTATTTGTTCATCTGGTTGAAGGAGGCTGGAGAGCTCTCCCTCATGTTCTCCACTGACTGTCATGAATATTATTGTTTTTGATATTAAAGTACAGGTGGCACTCATTTCTCAGTACAATCACTTATACTGGTTATGGCTATAAGAAAAAAATATGTTTTTTGATGATGGGGATTGGAACCCAGGGCCCCCCAGCACACTCGGTGAGTGCTATACCAATGAGTTATAGCTCCAGCATCCTCAGATGATGATCAATATTGAGATGTGTTTTCCTCCTCTATTCTGGAAGAATCAACCATCCACAATTTCACTCAGGATCACATTCCTAACAAAATGCTTCTGTTTCTTTTTCTCTTCACAGAAAACGAATCTAAGTATTTCATGTATTCAAATTTTTTACTTTATGGACCTTAACAGGCTTAATAAGCTCTAGCTTCATCTAATTCTTGCTAAACAGGAACTAAATGCCACTATGCCATCTTTACCAAGATTGTTTGAGTTCTATTTTGGATGCATGAAATACTTAAAGAATGCAATTCCACAGTTACAGTTCATTTGTAATCAATTTCCAAGTTGCCAATTCTATTATCACTACCATGGAGTTTGTAATTTAAAAATTATGAATATTATCTATCAACAACAATCGAGACTATTTATTGGAGATATTAAGCAAAATAAATGAAAAAAATATTAAAATAGGAAGAGAGTAAATGACTATAATATTAAATAAGTTTGCTTACCTAAAACTAGTATATGGATTTTAAAAACAGTCTTTCTCTTGTTCTGATTATAATAATCAAAAACAAGAACATATTGTTGCCAAAAATTGAGTAAAAATAGAAATAGGAAAAATTAAAATAGTATCTCTGATTTTTTCATGCATTTTTCCAAAGTTTTATATTTTATTTTTACAATGTTGGAAATTAACTAGTATTTTTAGGATGAATGTTTTAAGGATAGACATAATACCTTCAAGCTTATAAGTATAAATCTATTGCATATATTTCTTCATATACATATAATACATGTAAATGAATACAAAATATATCTACATAATTTTAGAAATACTTTGAAATGAAATATTCAGTTTCACATATGCTAAAAATTATAGGTCTCACAAATCAGCTCCCTGAACTTAAGCACCTGCATGAAACTGGCCATGAAAAGACTAGCAGTTCTAATGGCTTTTCTCATGCATATGTGCAGAGACAGGCTAACATTATTTCACTTGGGAAGGTGAAGTGTCAAGAGAGCTTGATAAGTGTCAAGCTCTCTTTAAACTCCCAACATGGAAAAGGTCAGGTAATGTTTTCCAGTGGCTTCTGCCTACCTTTTGGTGTCCTTTCCCAGTTCGGTGTGCTTCTGTAGATTTTTTCCAACATAGAGTAGGGTTCAGCACGTGCTGGCTCTATCTTAACTCACCCCCAACCCGGACAGAGTGTTTTGTTCATTTTTAAAGTGGTAGAAATAGAACTACATCTGGGCATATTGGTTCTTCTTTCTAAACATCTTGAAGGAAGTGCCATCTAGTTGTAAATAACTGGGAAGCATGGACAGAATTCTATTCTTTTAATCAGAGATTCAAAGGTGAATTTCACAACTCATAATAAATTCCCCATGGGTTCAGTGATCTGTGGCTGGAAATAATGTGATTTCCTATTCCCTAATAAGAATAGTCAAGTCACAGCAAATAAATTGGTGACTATTTATTTGCAATAATGGCAAATACATTTAAGAGGAATTTAAGAGGTGGGCTCCCCATTCACCATCTATTTCTCCCTTACTGTGTCTTTATCCCCTCCATCCAGCTTTGTATTTTTCAGACCCAGGTGACCCTGGTGTATACTTCTTCAAGCCATAAACTTCTCTGGGAAGTCTTCTGAGATCAATGAGGAGTGACTCTAATTATCTTCTATTATACAACTTCTGTGCCTTCGGTTTGTGTTATGTGTTAATTGGCACTTTTTTTTTGTTTTGTTTTGCCCTTCTGGAAGGACTATAGATGGATGGGGTGGAGAGCAGATGGCAGAAATAGACAGATAACAATTTCTATGGTGTTTGACAATAAGCCTTCACCCATAAAAACCACTGGAATTTCAAGGCTACCTGTACAGATTTACTTTCCTTGGTCTGAATTCTTGGTGCTGGGTGAAAATCTGACTTTCACTGGCTCTGTGAATTTTTGCCTTCATGGGCCATTCCTCTATAAAAAAAATCCAGAGCATTTAGGGACAAGGCAGAAAGCCCCTGAGTATAGTATCATTACTCTTAGAACATAAACGCCTCCAGAAAACAGAAAACAGGTGTCAGCATCTCATTCTCTCTTGATTGACTATCCAGAAGCACTTCTGAGGAATTTCAGCCAACTTCTCTCTTCCTTTATTTAAAAAAATCTATCTATCTATATAAATGTATATATACATAAATATATATATATACATATTTATGTGTATATGTGTGTGTATATATGTGTGTGTGTGTATATATATATATACATATATATATATACACACACATATATATATATATATATATATATATATATCTTCAATGGCCAGAATCACAAATTGGTTCCAAAGCACTTCTTGCCATTTTTTTTCCCTGATGGCATAGTTGGTCACTTGAGGAGCAGAACTGTCCAGTATCCCAAATTCCCTAGCTGTGTATGTAGCTTAAGCTCCTCCATGGGGGCTTATTATAATCTGTTTTTTATGTAAAATGTTTTCATCTATGTCTCACCAATGACACTGTCTTGTGAGAGCAAATATTTTGTTTTTTACTTATGAATGATATTGCATTATTTGGTATAGGTCTCCACAGGCACATAACAGGTACTCAGGTATGCAACAAATATACGTATACTGGGTATCTTTCTCAAATTATTCAAGATTTTGAAATCACATAATATGGCCAACTTTGACAGAAGGTGACTCTGAATGAGATAAAAAGTTTTAATTAGATGGTTAAGGAATTGAAGTAGTTTCAAGCATATAAATGGAAATTCATTAAAATTAATATAGCGTTGTCAGGTAAAGGTGCTTAAAATTTTCTTGAAAGGACAGATAAGACTTTTTTTTTTAATTAACAAGATCCATTTGTCTATAAATAATTCACCATTTGTTTGTTCTTTGGAGAAGTTTAAACATTCTGGTCTACTTCAATCACACTGTCATCCAAAGATTATTTACCCTGATTCTCATCACAGATGGTCAAGACAAGAGTACTCAGTCCTCCTCCGCCTATGACCAGCTCTGAATCAGTGAAGTTTTACTTCTAGGTTTCCTCTGATTAATGTGGCTCTGCATTACTTGTGAGTTATTTTATCTTAAGGGTGAGCTCCCTGATGTATACCTGCAAGCAACTCTTTCTGCTTAGCATGGACTGACTTAAACATTTTTCTGCTTTTGACATTGGCCTTATATTGAGGATGTCATAAAGAATACATACTGGATAATTAAGCAGTAAAAGTACAATGAAATGTATTTTTTTTGTGTGAGACAAATCTCAAATTTGTTATATTTTGGGAGGCCTTTGATGACTATCTGAAATATGTATCCCCCAAATATAATTCAAG